AACTTAGTGGAATTGCTAAGTCCCTGAAATCAACATTAACAAATGCACCACTTTGCAAGCTTGTGCTAGTCACCACACACATCACAAAAATACATGGATCGCACCTCTGGGAAGATGGCAAAGCATTTGACAAAACACAAGTAGAGCTCCTGGGCATATCATGCACACAATAATCATGGCAAAAATGACAAATAGCTATTTGGAGCAGCAAATCTGACGATTATCTCAAATAGCACTCTTCCAACAGCATTTCGGGCATCAAGATGAGCTCAAATGAAAATGATGCAATGAGATGAAATGATGTGCTCTCTGAGGCAAACATTTTGATATGCTATATGTCCAAAACGGATCTATGGATGCAAAGTTACGATGCGATGAACATGGCAAAGTATCTAGGCTTTTCTGAGAAAAAGTCAACCGAGGGGTAACTCAGATCTGGATCTGGCACGGATTCCGAAGCAGCTCGCCGGAGTTCCTGTAGCAGAGCTCGCCAGAGGGAAGTAGGGGACGTCGAGGGGACCGGCGGATCCGGCGAGAGGGGTCGCCGGAGATGGCGCGACCGGGCGCGGTTGCCGGAGCCGGGAGCTCCTCTCCCTGGCGCGGGCGCCGGCGAGGCCTTGAGGCAGCGGGGCGAGGTCCGGTGGCAGCGGCCGGCGATGTGGCCTGACCCGAAGAGGATGGCGGCGGGCGGCAGGAGCTCGATCTGGCCCGGGCGCGGCGCGGGCGGGCCTGCTCCGGGCCGGCGGGCCTGGCGGCGGGGAAGTGGGCGCGGCGAATAGGAGGCGGACACGTGGCGGTGGCGGCTGGTTCGGACGTGTCCGACCCGAGCGAACGCGTCCGGCGGCGAGAGGTGGGAGGCGACTAGGGTTTCACCCGTGATTTCCAATGGGGGAGGTATTTATAGGCATAGAGGGAGCTAGGAGAGTCCAAATGAGGTGCGGTTTTTGGCCACGCGATCGTGATCGAACGCTCTAGATGATGGAGAGGGATTTGGTGGGTTTTGGGCCAAAATGGAGGGGTGTTGGGCTGAAACACACACGAGGCCTTTTCGGTCCCTCGGTTAACCGTTGGAGCATCAAACGAAGTCCAAATGGTACGAAACTTGACAGGCGGTCGGTAGTAAACCAAGTCCGCTTGGCAAGTCTCGGTCCAATACGGAAATGTTTAATCCCCACACACGAAAGAAAGATAGAAATGACCACCGGAGGAGAACGGAACGCCGGAATGCAAAACGGACAACGGGGAAAAAGCTTGGATGCATGAGACGAACACGTATGCAAATGCAATGCACATGATGACATGATATGAGATGCATGACCATGACAACAACACACGGAGACAAAAACCCCGAACCCAAGAAAATAAAATAACTTAACGCCGAAAACGGCAAGAGTTGGATTACATATTAGGTAAAACATATCCGGGGTGTTACACACTCGGGCCCTAGTGACAGGCGTTAAGCGTAGCAAAGTCATAGCAAAATCAAGCTCAGAATATAGTGATACTAGGAATCAAACCTTAACAAAACTAACTCGACTACATGATAAATCTCATCCAACCCATCACCGTCTAGCAAGCCTACGATGGAATTACTCACGCACGGCGGTGAGCATCATGAAATTGGTGATGGAGGAAGATTGGTGATGATTATGGCGACGAATCCCCCTCTCCGAAGCCCCGAACGGACTCCAGATCAACCCTCCCGGTGAAGAACAGGAGGCGGTGGTGGCTTCGTATCGTAAAACGCGATGAATCCTTCTCTCTGATTTTTTTCTCCTCGAATAGGGTTATATAGAGTTGGAGTTAGGGTCGGAGAAGGTCCAGGGGCCCACAAGCCCTCTAGGCACGCCCTAGGGGGGCGCCCCCTCTGGTTAATTCTTGCGCTAGTATTTTTTGTATATTCCACAAAAATTCTCCGTAAATTTTTAGGTCAATCCGAGAACTTTTATTTCTGCACAAAAATAACGCCATGACAATTCTGCTGAAAACAGCGTCACTCCGGGTTAGTTCCATCCAATTCATGCAAATTAGAGTCCAAAACAAGGGCAGAAGAGTTCGTAAAAGTAGATA